GGATATTGACACTCATTGATGAACCTTCATCCGACCGCTAACGGAATTCACCTGCCCCTCTCTGCCTGGGGTCCGTTGTCTTTGCCGGTAATACTATCTGCCTACACTGCCAGCTGCTATGGCTGTCAGGGAATCTGTCGAGACCCCAGGTAGAGCGGGACAGATGAGTTCCGTTAGCGGGCGGATGAACGTTAATCAATGAGTGACAGAAATACTCATGGAAAACTTCGTAGAAGTGTATTTTGTAAGAAAACATGGACAGAGCAAAACAGGAATTGGTACGTTTTTGTTCCGCTAAGTCGGAAAGGAAGCCAATTGCAATGCTTCACTAACCGAGCTAGAAGAATATGTACTCTAGATACGCTGGAGAACGAACTCGCACTTTTATAAATCATTCTGAGCGAAAATGGCTTTCCCGGAAGTTCATCAGTAAATCTACGGAAGAACGTCCCAAAGATTGGAAATGCTGATGTCTGAGAAGAAAGACTTATTTATCCGATGGCCGTTTCGAGGACACCAGCGAACGAACTTCTGCATCTTCGCCTAAACGCAGCTATTGCGCACACGCATCCAGCTGCTTAGAGGAGATTAGTGTTTTCAAGCACTCCACTTTTTCGTCTTGAAGGCAGGGGTATACTCCCCCTTCAGATCTCTTAAATGCGCATCTATACTTTCACTTGCTCCTGTGGAACAAATTCTATTGGTCGAACAACCAGGTACAGATGCAAGTAGATATGTGCACGCCATCCTGCTTGGCTAAACCGAGGCATTGTGAAGACCACATCTAGCGCAATTTTGGCTCACTTGTTTGACAATGATTACCGGGTAGAAGTAAACCAAGCACGCCGAGTTACCTATAAAGTGCCGATGAAACACTTCTGTGGCAGCGAATACTTACAACGGCAATGGCGGTCACCATACGGCTAACTAACCCGCTTTTGTACGCGTAGAAGACTAACTCAACATGGGTCTTCACACCTCCTAACACGTCGTGTTACAGCGACGACACAGAGACCAACTATTTGTCGCACAGATTCGCCATCCCCCTTCCTGACCCCCTTGAGAGGACTAAAATGTTACCCCTTGACATCTGAACACCCTCAACCCTCTCCCCCTTACTTACTGCTTATTGGATGTTTACACCTTTGTCCGTCTACCCTCCCTTACTAATCGAAAGCGTACGTTCGCCAAACTTGTACTCATTGTCTTCTTGACTTGTCTGCGCACTTATGTGCGCAGGTGACATTAAAGGTGCTGTGTATGCCCGTCCGTAGTATCGGGACATCATAACGCGATGCGCGCATCAAGCGCTGGTCAAGGTCACGGACACGTGTTCCCCCCTTTCTTTATTCTGACTGCCCAGTCTTCACTCCTGGCTAGCGGGTTCACCACTGTCCTTATTCTGATTGGCCAACATTCGGCCAATCACATTTACCCCACACCATATAAACCGCGGTGTCAACATGACTCGTCACTTGAACTGTGCCTCCACGCTCAGTGCACGTCCTGCCTACAGAGAGTCATATGTTTTGCCTTCATGACATTCTCCTTACAGGCAGCCTTCTGTTTTGCATACATTACATTCTTCCTGCCTACAAACTGCCTTCCGTTTTCAATACATAACAAAAGACAGAAGCACTTGACAACCAACTGGAACGAACACATATATACAGTTTCGATCTACCTTTTTAATTCCATCTGTGTGTGCTTGCAAGGGCCAGCACTCGATAGGTGCTGAAGTCAAAGGGAACAGCATTTGTAGTGGACATTCCTGAGGTATAGCTATCTTCGGTGAACCATACGGCTTCTAAAACCCTAAATTTGTACAAAGGTCGGAGTGATCATTCGGCTTAATGCTCCGACAGATCCACTGCAGATTATGAATGTGTCCCCTGGGTGCCTCACAGCAAGGTAGGTGCAGGAGTGATGACTTACGCGTGGATAAGTTTATAATTATGGTATCATTATATCAAAATTCCCAATCTAAACCGGCAAGACAACGAGCCCGTGGCTCAATTGTTAGAGCATAGCACTTCTAACTAGCAAGTTGGTAATGTTCATCTGCGGCTGCTGATGGGTTTTGAGAGTAAACTCTAAGACAGATTGGGACGAACGAGTCCTGTTATCGATCGGTAAGCGTGCATCTGCTAATGGTACTATACTTGCAAGGGATCTACCACACTCTCTCCCCCCTCGCCCACCCAGCAGTACTTTCAAGAAGACCAGAGGTGGGATCGGGCCCTTAAGTGCCGCATTTGTTATGAAAGCACAATCAAAATAACGCCTGCCACGCCCTGATCTAGCCCCCGTGTTGGTCCAGTGCATCCACCACACGCTCTGTCTAGGAGACACAGAAGGCCATGCAGGGAAGGGGTTTCAGCGTGTGGATAAAAATACTTTAAGTTATGTAGGATATATTAGATATAGAGAGGAGCAGCTTGTCCGCCACTTATGCATTCCTTTAATATTACAAATGATAAATTATACACCACGACAAGTTGGGATATCTGGCGTTTTGTTTTTAAGGCCGTAGTACAATGGCTAAGACCTGAGGCATCGAACTTATAACAATGACTGCTGGATTAACATGACCTGACCAATTATCGCTTAAAGTGAAATCTTTTATTTTCAACATTTTTCCCTTCCAGTTTATGCTTACGCGTATGCTAGTGGAACCCTTATTAAAGACATCTTAGTTGTTTGCGTATTTCCCCCTCATCTAATTTTCTAGTTCGCGCTTATGTATGCGAACTTTTCAAATGGTTGCACAGTCAGACAAAGTCCAAACCCACCCTGATGTAACCATTGTCTGGGACTAGCAGTTACAATTGAACTCCGACATTTAATAAATGTTGTCCTGAAAATACATCCGAATATGGGAAACAAGTGTTCGAAGCACCCTGCCTTTGGCTCGAAAGGATCAAAGCGCCGAATTTTGCGTCATACAAAATCAGCATCTCTCTCTTTTCGCCCTGTCTCCAGAATGCTAGATGCCACATTGACCTCTTCGGAAATATGCGCACTTGTAAAAATGTTCAGGTAAAGGACAAAGCCCAAGTCTCACTTACGCTACCGACGTTTTATCGGCAAATAAATCGACTGTGCATGCGCCTCTTTGGTCACAGGTGTCAGGGATCAGCAAAACATCACACACACACACACACACACACACACACACACACACACACACACACACACAGACACCCTCACGCACACACCTACTGCTCATGCAACAATTGTTCGATGCAATATTTCAACCATGTTATAACCGACGAAAGGTCCATAGGTGAGAATTTGCGTAGCTCATGGCTGCGCGAACCGCATTTTTCAGTGAAGGTTAGTTAAGTGGGGTGGAGGAGTAGCACGTATAGACTAACGTTTACATCACTGAACCCAGTCGATCTGCAAGCTTTGCGCTTGGCATGGCCAACGATCTCTTAACTGTTTGCATCTTTTCCGTGCTTTCCCTCTCCTCCCTCCACACCCTAGTCCGACTTCAACAAACCCTCACGGCCGCGTAACCAGTCTCCTCTTCTCGACTCCCAACCCCCCTCCCCTATTTCTATGACTCATTGGCATGTAATAACGAACGTACCTGACCGCATGTTTACCTTTGATCCTGTTCCTATATAAATGCACAATAGATTGCATATCTGATGAAATTTGAAGATGAAAGTAGAGTGGAGCATTTAACACACATTGGTAATTGTTTATTTTGTTCATTGAGTTGACTTGAGGCGCAAAAGCTGTTTACTAGAAAAGTGTTCAGTGCAGATCAGTATACTGGGGACAAGTAGAGGCGGACTTAGGCCAAATCCAACGTTTGTTGATAACTAAGGAATTTCCTACGCTATTAAATGCTGCAGAAGAAAAAAATCTTCTTGTTTGTGCGTGTTGCACCATAAAAGAAAATTAATAAAAACCAGAAACTTTACAATTATATGTGTTCAGAGAACAGACAGTTTTGTTTTGCGTTCAGCAAATTGGGGTAAGTGCAATTATGAGATAATGCACTATTGTCAGGAGAAAAAAGAGTACTTAAGTTTAAAAAATTATATTTTGCAAATCTACTAAGTTCTTTGCCATAAACTTAAGTAAACTTATAAGGCTGTAATTTGTTTTACCCCACCGAAAATTGCGACCGTAACCAAGCGCATATAAAAACACTAGAGGCATGCTGTCAATTTTCTCTGTCCAGCCGTATGCTCAAGACAGTAAACAAATTAATTGGGTGCTTGATTAGTCTTCTTCCTTATGCATGCAATTACATGGAATGTGAACGTTTTCATCCATTCGTGAACAATTCGGTTGCATGAATAAGGAAGAAGACTAATAGAGCACCCAATTAATTTGTTTACTGTCCTGAGCTTTCGAACACATACAGGAGTTCATCTTCAGAGATAAGAAGCAGCGACCAATAAAGGGGATAATTATAAAGTACAACTAAAAAAGTTCGGCAAAACACAAAACAAACATTGTAATCACGCCAAGCGATTGGTTTTCCATGAAAACAGTCGAAATAGCCCCAGCACGATTTTACGGTCTGCCGAAAGTGCACAAAGAATACATACCGCTTAGGCTCATCGTCTCCTTTTGTGGCACCTCAACACACGGTTTGGCAAAATGGATGTGCTCTCGTTTCCAGTTTCTGGTAAAAACCGTCACTTTTACCAAACAGTTCCTTGAACTAATAAAACATCTGAATTTAGATGAACTCATGGTATCCTTCGAAGTTGTTTCACTCTTCGCCTCTATCCCACAGCAACCAGCGATTTATGTTGTGAGACACCTTCTAACTGAACGCTACGGCGAGAGGGACAAACCCCCGAAGTCTGAAAATTTGCCCAAACTTCTATGACATTGCCTTCAAATCTACTTCACATTTGGTGGACAAATGTGTGAGCAAATTAAAGGCATCCTCATGAGCTTCCCCTATCAAGCCTGATTGTTGAAGTGGTCCTTCAACGGAAAGAACACCTCGTCTTCACCAAATATCAACCAATGTCGATGAAACTTTCGTCATTGTCAAAAAATCTGACTTCGAGCACCTCAAAGAGTTACTGAACTCGGTTGACCCAAATATCAAATTCATGATGGAAACTGGAAGAAATAACTAATGCCCCTTCCTCGATGTTCCTTGTATTTAACTGGACTACTGCAAACCGCAGTATTCAGAAAATCCACCAGCACGAATCAAATACTACATGTTACAAGAGTCGAACACGTCACCCAGACGTCAGACAGTACGAGGTCACGTGAGGCCAACCCG